CAACATTTACAAACGCGTTGAAGTCCCCTCCGGTAGAACCCTAGGTGACATAGTAGATACCTCAGGAGCGACCGTCAACACTTGGTACACCCTAGTCCGCACCGGTGATGATAAATGGATGGTATACCCATCGTTCGGAGGCAAACTGTTCGACTTTGAAGATGTTGAGAGCACGACCGTCGCCCGAAACAAGCCATATACGCTCGTCTTCACCGACGATGACAAGTGGGAGTTGTTACCCTTTCACGACTGGTTTCTCAATATTAGGCTCGGCTCCCCCTATGTGTTCACGGAGAACAAAGACAACTACCTAAACAAAGTCGTGAACAATGGAACCCTGCTCGTGGCTCACGTTCCCGGCGCAGAGACGTAGCGTAACCATCCGCCCAGTCGCCAGTATGGCAGCCCACATGCTATCGAGTAAACCGGGAGTGCAAGATGGTACATTGCAGTTGGTGTCTGAATTCAAAGTCGTGGTCAACATCCTGGAGTGTCTACCGGCGAACTCCAGGCTGGTCATCAAAGTCTACCTAGGGAAACCATCGACGGATGAAGTCGAAATCATAAAGGGGGGCAAACTCCGGTGAGTGAAACGGCACCAGTATCAGGTTTGCACTATTTACGTGCGGGTGGGTGTCGACTCCCACACCAGTCTGCAGGGGGTCACCGTGACCGTGGAAGACACGATATCACTCACCAAGATCTTCTTACCCGACAACATACACTTCATGGGGTTGAAGTGCACCCCTGAGAAATTATCTCGTAATAGTATTATAGCAATGTCCAATCGTCATCGGCCCAACGCCACACTTAACGATCTAGGAGACACGGAGGGATTCGATCTGCCAGGCAAGGAAGACGCCTTGTACGCCCTACGCTTGAAAGACAACGTGTATAGGCGGGCGGCAATGGCCGATCATCTACCCAACATCACACTCGGGGGTCTACGAGGCACAATGGGGTTCGATCAGCCCGGCGTGAACGGCACCTTGTACGTCCTGCTCTTACTAGGCGGCGTGTACGTGCGGCAGCCTCTGCCAGACGACTTTAGAGAGCCCAAATGGTTTATCAACATGACCCTCACCGCACCTTATATCTCATTAAACAAAGATGGCTATGTCTCCGAAATTAGGAATAACGGTACCTCTCTCAGGGTTTTCATTCCAGGGCCTGATGTAGGTGTCCCGCTAACCCCAGATCGAACGAGCAACATGTTAGTTTCAATCAAAAATAATGAATTAAGGTTTTACACCCTCAGTTCCCGATTGAAGCCTATATATATGACTGCACCCTACACACTCATCATAGAAGTCCATTTCGGGGGGAACCCTTTATAGTTCAGCACTACCACTTTTATCCGGGTTGACAATACAATGGGGCGCCATACACGGGGGCCAACGTTGCCGTATCGTCATACAACCGAACCCCTCAACGGGTTCTATAGTCCCCTTAGTAAGCCTCCCTGGGGTTCGTGTGAGAGCAGAGGGGCCTATTATCCTCTCACCTATTTACCTGCCTGAGAGTCTGCACCTTATAAGTCTCAAATACGTTCGGGAACGATTAAATAGCACACAATTAGGAAATATCTCATAAGATATATTATATGCACACAGGATGGGTCTGTACCCAGTCGTAGAGGAAGTCGCGAAGACCCTGGCAACCGTAGACGGATTCCGCTTGAGACAGTTATGTGATGTAAAACGCCAACTAGAACAAGACCGCGACACGCGGAAAGCACTATATAAGAAGTACCATAGAGCTTTCAATATCGTGGACGGAACTGATACTGCCCTTATGGCAACCAGCATGGGACTAGGTGCGGCAGGTGTTGGGTTGTTAGCCACCATCATGGCCGCACCTATAGTGCTAGGCATTGAAATAACAGCTGGTGTTGTAGGGGTGGCAGGGTTGGTGTTTAAGTTTGCATCATGCAGACTCCATCGTAAGGCATTGAAACACGACGAGATCAGGGTTCTAGCCGAAGCAAAGCTGAACACGGTAAGTGAGCGTATTTCCACGGCACTCACTGACAGTAAGATCTCAGAGGAGGAATTTCGTTCAATCCTCTCTGAACTCGACAAGTACCGTCAGATGAAACAAGAAATCCGGTCCAAGTCTCATAAGTTTGCTATCAGCGAAGACGAGAAAAAAAAGTACATAGAAAAGGGGGTATGAAAAGCCCAGCAAGCCTTTATTACGAACACCAAAGAGATCATAGGCGATTCACATTAAACTGTTTCATCGAGGTCAACGCGACATAGCCACACTATTGTGTCACGTGTGGCCGGGAAGTTAACTGGGGGTTCAAAAGTAGTAGATATACTGGGGCGAGATCTAAGGGCCTGACAAAAGCTTTATTTGTGAAATAAAGCTTTACAGAGGCTTTTGTTGGACTTGATCTCGGACTATCATTATATCTACTACTGCTTTCTCTTTGATTTTACCTCACAACTTAACAGTGTCCGTGGATTCTGAAGCAGTAAAAGCTGTTCCACGTGTCATTTCTGAAATGGATGTTAGGATGTATCAATACGATCCGATTTTACATCTTGCAAAACAATCTTCCACTGAAGATGAAGAAGAAGAATCAAGCGAAACGGAGGCACCGCTTGAGGTCAAAATAAATTTAAAAATAGACCATATCATTTAACAAGATTACTATTTGTCAGCAAAATGTCATACAGTTCCAGCCAGCAAACTCACCCCTATAAATATATGACCAGTCACTAGGAATTATTTTTTAAACAAGAAAAAATTGTGTCTAGGGACACGGATGCCCCCGCTGACATTCATAAGACATATAAAGACCAATAATTGAACAAAATTCACAAGTTCAATAAACATCTATGCAACTATGAGATAGAACAAACTTCAACTAAGTTCAAACATTTGTAAAAGTGACAAAATTAAGAAATTGGATGAACAAGGTATGAGATGCACACCTTTAGAGCTCCAATGAAACACATGTAGAAGCTCAATCAATTCTGTTCCGCAGCTTTTGTGGAGAAGTGGATAGACTTAATCCCCTATTCACTATCATCAAAGAGAAATTCAACAAAATGTATCTAAGTTCAAATGTCTCTAAACACACCAAAAAAATATAAAATACAAAAACAAAATATGAGATGCACACCTTTATAGTCTCTATAAAAGACACATGTAAGCTAAATGAGTTTTGTGCAGAGGTTTTTGAGGAGAAGTGGATAAAGTATTGGACGAACTGGATGAATAGAACCAAATTCAACTAAGTTCAAACATCTGTAGAAGTGACAAAATTAAGAAATTGGATGAACAAGGAATGAGATGCACACCTTTAGAGTTCCAATGAAACACACGTAGAAGCTCAATCAATTCTGTTGAGCAGCTTTTGTGGAGAAGTGGAGAGACTTCACCCCCTACAACACTATATTCAGAGGGAAATTCAACAAAATTTATCTAAGTTCAAACGGCATTAAAATTGGAAAAATAAATAAAAAACAAAATCAAAATATGAGATGCACGCCTTTAGAGTCCTTATTAAGCACATGTGTAATCTAAATGAATTCCATAAAGTAGTTTTTTAGGAGAAGTGGATAACGTATACCCCCTGTTGGATGGAACGAACACTGGCTGAATAGAACAAAATTCAACTAAGTTCAAACATCTGTAAAAGTGACAAAATTAAGAAATTGCATAACAAATTATGAAATGCACACCTTTAGAGTCCCTACAAAAGACATGTAGAAGATCATTCAATTCGGTTGAGCAGTTTTTGTGGAGAAGTGGATAGACTTCATCCCCTATTACACTATCATCATAGAGAAATTCAGCAAAATGTACCTAAGTTCAAATGTCTCTAAACTTACCAAAAAAAAACAATAAAATAAAAAAACAAAATATGAGATGCACACCATTAGAGTCCCAAGAAAGCCCATGTATAAGTTCATTGAATTCCACAGAGCGGTTATGGTGGAGAAGTGGATAGAATACATTCCCTGTTTCATACGGACGGACGGAACGGACACCGAGGGTAACCCTATATGCCCCCAGCCATATATGGCGGGGGCATAAAAATGTGATTACAGTTCATTTTGTGTCAAATGGGTAACTGTAGGGTATCTGGGATTTAAAAACAAAATAATTATGCTTCAGACGAGGGAAAATAAAATTATCTGCTTCAAAAATTACACTGGAAATTATTTTGTTGAAAAAAATTAGGATCCTAGTTCTGACGTATCAAGTCTTGATACAAGATCCCAGCCTGGTCGAGCAGAGATAATATTTGCGACACAGATAAGTTATTCCCCGAAAACTGGTGAATTATAAAATACTAGTCAGGACAACGTATGTTTCCCCATTGTTTGGTTATGGAAATAGTTATGGTACTCGGTCATAGCCTTAGAATGACATCTTGCGGGTGCAATTCAACTGGCAACCAGACTTGATTTAATTTATGTTAAAAATACCACTTACAGTAAGTTGTTACAGGGAATGATGGAGTATAAATGAATCTCGTGGATACGTTTTCCTTCTTCAGCCTAGCTTGGGGATTTCCATACCCCATGCGGGCATGTCTCTTTCATATGCGTCCGACTCGTAATGATCGGCGCATTTCTCCTGCCGAAATCTGTCATTTCACTAGGAAAACGGAAGAAATGGTGGTTCTTTCGCATGTTCGATGATGCCGTGCAACCCCAGGAAACGCAAAACACCGTCGTACCATTGAAAAGAACGACAGAAACAACACGATTTGTACTACTGTAGCGTTTGGTCTTTGGCAATATGGCGGACTCCAGGCACATTTGACGTCACGAGCGGAAAGGTCACGTGTGTTCCAGCGAAATATGTATAATGGCTGAAGCTGAGATTTACAGAAACTGTTTTCGCGATTAAAACATAATTATACATAATTTTTAATTGAAAATTTGAGAATATGTTTCTGATGACTTTATCTTTCACCCAGCAAATTATTGCAATTCACTCGTATTCTCCTTTAACATTGTCTTATAAAATGTACTTACCTGCATGAAAGAGTGTCTTTGATTCTGTAGGGACTGGTACAAGACATTATTAGTGCTGTTGTCTATGTAACCTGGAAAAGATAAGGGTATGAATATTTATCATATTATTTCTCGGCAGGATAAAGATACAGGTATCATTTGTGGTAATATATGGATAAAGATGTTCACATAAAAGGTCCGCTGGTTACTACTTTCAGAGTTTACACAACTTCATGTCATCACACTTGTCAGTCTGCAATCAAGTCAGATTTAAGCATTGGGTTTAAAGAAAAAAACCTGGCATAACTTTTATCATCATAAAAAAATAGTCTCATACACTATATTTATTTCAGTGTCTAAATGAGACATGGCAGAGACATTTGATTAGTTTGGTCATCTTGGAGGCATAAATGGTGAAACAATCTAGCATTGTGGGATGTGTTTCCATATCTCTGCCTGTAGACCTTATTTGGGTCCTTTTTGTCAAATTAGGCTATTTTGGTTATAAATATTTCGTCACGATATGGCTGAAATATTGCCAAAGTGACGTTAAATATTAACTCACTAACAATAAATATTTATAATACCTTGTTTCATTATGCCCCTGTGTGTACATCTAACAGTACACTAACATGATGATCAGCTGATCACATAGACTCGAGTTAGAGTTTTGATAAAGGGAGGTTACAGTAGCAGGCAGACCAAAGGATTGCTGTGAGTATAGTATATGATATCCAACTTCAGGTCAAATACACATGATCATCTTGAAGTAATGACAGTGTACCCAAAATGTTTCAGTGCATTTGAGAACAACTTCATGAAGACCAATTCAATAGCCTTAGGATACATCTCTCCTACAAAAGGCCTACTAGAAGGTCTAATCAACTAAACACTAAGTAACAAAAACTAATAAATGCACTTTTAGCACATTATAAAATCTTCAATCACGCCTTCATTCATCAAGTATGTAATACATTAAAGGCAGAATAGTTGACTTACAGGTGGTGGCTGAAAAGTTAACCGTAACAGTTTGCAAGTATGAAGTGTATTTGACCAAAATCCACTATGGGGATGCATATTTCTAACAGCATGAACGTCACTAGGTATTCTCTGTTGATGAAAATTTAGAAAATTGGCTACTGCACAGTCATCAACTTCATCATCTTCAACAGAAACAGCAATTCTTGCAAACATGCTATCAATTTTAGGAAATCACAATCCTTCCTTTTGCCACTGTTAAGAGGAGGGCTGTGGGAAATGATTGCCTCAAAGATGATCCAATATCAAGGAGATGATCCAATATCATGGAGATGATCCAATATCAGGGATATGATCCAATATCAGGGAGATGATGATCCAATATCATGGAGATGATCCAATATCATGGAGATGATCCAATATCATGGAGATGATGATCCAATATCAGGGAGATGATCCAATATCAGGGAGATGATGATCCAATATCATGGAGATGATCCAATATCAGGGAGATGATGATCCAATATCATGGAGATGATCCAATATCAAGGAGATGATCCAATATCAGGGAGATGATCCAATATCACATGGAGATGATCCAATATCAGGGAGATGATGATCCAATATCATGGAGATGATCCAATATCATGGAGATGATGATCCAATATCAGGGAGATGATCCAATATCATGGAGATGATCCAATATCATGGAGATGATGATCCAATATCAGGGAGATGATCCAATATCAGGGAGATGATGATCCAATATCATGGAGATGATGGAGATGATCCAATATCAGGGAGATGATCCAATATCAGGGAGATGATGATCCAATATCATGGAGATGATCCAATATCATGAAGATGATCCAATATCAGGGAGATGATCCAATATCAGGGAGATGATGATCCAATATCAGGGAGATGATCCAATATCACATGGAGATGATCCAATAACATGGAGATGATGATCCAATATCATGGAGATGATCCAATATCAGGGAGATGATGATCCAATATGGAGATGATCCAATATCAGGGAGATGATCCAATATCAGGGAGATGATCCAATATCAGGGAGATGATCCAATATCAGGGAGATTTTCAACATTAACTACTAATGATATAACTGTCTATGATCAATAACTCAACAAACATCTCTCATGAGGAGTTTTGCAAACATTCTGGGGAATGAAGTCCTGATAAAAGCTTCAGCTTCAAGATCCTGGTTAGAATTGACCTTCAGTAACCTTTGCTTGTCGTAAGAGGCGACTAGCAGGATTGGGTGGTCAGGCGCACTGACTTGGTTGACACGTCATTGCATCCCAGTTGCATAGATCGATGCTCATGTTGTTGATCACTGGATTGTCAGGTCCAGGCTCAATTATTTAGAGACCTCCGCCATATAGCTGGAATATTGCTGAGTTCGGCTTAAAACTAAACTCACTGACTTACTCACTCATCACCTGGGAATTTATGTCAATTTGAAGCAACCCAACAGATTTTATTTAGTGATTATAACCATTAATATGTCTATCAGGCAAGGACATAACATTCAAAGCTGGGGAAAATTAATGTCCCCCTCCAAAGAAGACAGCAGCCTGGTTCCTGGGATCTGCTGCGCTATGCTTCAATACACATGGGGGTGTTCTATTTCTGCCAGCATAGACAACACACAGGCACCAGGCACAATGTATCAGATTTAGATGTCTGGAGGGAATGAAGTAAGTTTTAACAAGAGATTATTACAATCCTTCCTGACTACCCTCCCTTTGTCTCTGGTGTCATTTCATTTTGTTGTCATAGACAATTGTAACCTCGCAGGTTTAAGACAATTTGGACCTAATATGCACTTGTTGATTCACAAAGTTCTTCATGTCCGTAATGTAATGATCTGTCTGTGCAAAACACTGACCAAAGAGCACCACCAATGATGGTGCATGGATTGTGAGAAATAGTTCATATCAAGGAGATTCGGGGATTCAGACAGGACAAAGAAGCTTTTTCAGCCTTTGAGGAGTCACCTTGCATTGCATACCAAGATGCTCATTGGTGGATCTAAATCCTACAAGTTGCACCTGCTCCTTATTTCCATTGGATGAGCGGTATCCCTCGGTATGTTCTACATTTACCCAATTGACATCAGAGTGTTCAACAACGAATATTACCTTGCCGTGAGACATTATTTCCATGTAAGTTTTCATCTTTTGGCAGACACTTTAGTGTTTGGTGCCATTTTATTTAGGAAAGCTCCTTAGAGAGATCCTTAAAATATGTACATCATGGATGACCACATACTCTTTCCACATGACTTGCATCTAGGCTCTTGGGTGAACTGATTACTGCCTTGTCATCCATGAAATTGTGAGACCCGCGTTATTGACTCATTAAAGTCATATTTGACAATTAATTGCGAACATTCTAGTCTAAAAGTCTTGAGATCAAAGTGGCATGTACCACAGGAACTCAACGGTGACTTGTCAAACTGTTCCATATGAAAAGTGTCTCCACCCACATACCAAAAGTGCTAAGCCTGTGCTAATTATTATGTTAAATATGTACATGAAAAAATGCTTCATACTAACACGATAGCAAATTTTTATTATTCCTGTTAAAATAACCGCTTAAGATTTTAATTCTTCTGATAATGGAATAGAAACTCTTTGTAGTTATATTTGCAGATCGTTTTTAACTTAATCCCCAGTAGACTGGAGAAAAACTTGTGTACACATTTGATTGTTATTTCTATTGCTTAGTTGAAAAGCAGGTAGCAAAACAGGAACGACAATTCAATTATCATGTCTAGTGATGTTTGACTGAAAATTTCCCACTAATATTAACAAAGTTTGTTTGTTTGTCCACCCCGATACAACATGGTTTTGTTTTGACTGGGCTCAATACATGAAATAGCCATTATGCTATGCACATGGAAAATATGATTTTGCTTGGTCTTTTTGCCATGTTATGTATAATGTGGGGGGTCATTCATGGATCCCAAGTCCTGCGTCATGGCGAGGGATGACTGTATTAACAGGGTGATGAGAGCCAACGTGGGAATCTATGGCTATGTCGGAACAGATGTAATAGGTAAGGTATTTGATGTACAAACAGAACTCCTATATTTGCATTAGAAATGTGTTTGTCCTCCATTGTTTCTTTTTGTGATGCTTGGTCACATACAACATGGCACCATTTTGTACACTGACATGGCTTGACACCATATTGTTGACCATAAAAAATCCATTCCTTTCAAGAGGTTTTGACCAACTTGGTGTAGTATTGTTTAAACAATTTTGATATACCATAATTTGCTAATAAAGTCTACCTATTAAAGTATAAATAGTATTAAAGTATACCTACAAATAGTATATTTATAAATAATCATCCAGTCTCACATTATACCAGCTACATGTTACTGTCTAGAGCAATAGATGCAGAAGGGGTGTGTTTAGGTGAGGTGTTTAAACGGGCTAAAATGTTCCAGGTCGTTTCCACTCCATGGCTGTTAGAAAAAGAGAAAGTGCATTACATGAGACAGGATAAGTTTTATAAATGGTTTCTTGGGACAGCCTTTTCGTTTTACTGTCAACATCAGCGCCTATTGGTCACTGGTGCACATTCCCACTGGAACCTGAAAGTAATCCAGCTGAAAACACTGTGAGATCTCCTACCCTGTGCATAACGTAACTCCTCTTCAAACAACACTAGGTAAAACATACCTTGCTTTATACATGGCAAAATACAGTATTGCAAAGAAAGAAACGAACATGTCAAGCCCCACTACCAACTACATATGTACTACACTTGCACAAGTTGATGTGGAAAGGTATATCAAGTCAAAAGGCAAATTTATGTACAATGTATAAGCATATGATGCTTCACATTCACTGGTTCAATAATTTCTGAGGACACAAAATGCACCACTGTCGACAGAGACCACACAAATCAGCCACACGATACATACTCCTTCAGTCAGGTCAGCTAAGAATGATTGTGTAATGGCACTTCCCCCAAGACTAACTTGAAAATGATCATTGGTTGAGTACATACTTTTGAACTTGTCTTTGTCATATTTGGGGCAGCAGACAGGACGCGTAAGTTTGCAGGCCAATCCATCTTGTTTATTGTGGTAGTGGTCTATCAGCTGCAGAACAACCACAAGGGTTACATACAGTCAACTATTTAACATCAAGGCAGACATCTACATTTTCAAACACAGATCTTTTTAACAGTTTCATGAGACAATATATGGTATTCAGTAGTGAGGAAAGTGAGTGTTTCTTACAATATTATTTAAATTCCACATATATTTAAAAAATTCATCATATAAAATTGTCATCAATCAAACATTGTGACAACTCCTTCATACACACAGTTCCAACAAAGTTGTCATGTCACAAATTCTTTTCACGAAGTATGCAGAATATCAAAACAGTATAGTTTTCTTTCACATAGAAAAAGCACTGCATTTGGAATTCATGTTTCCAGGAAGAAACTGATTTGGTCTCACAATGTTTATAGTCTGCTAATCAAAGTAATAAAAGCTAAATGTTGTGATGCAAGTGTAGCACCCGTTTATCTGGCCCAATCAGAAACTTGCAAACCCCTTCTTTTTTATTTGCATGACATTTGATAAAATGAAAATATACCTTTCATGATGCGACCCTGAATGTTAAGCTTTATGACTGCATGAACTTTTAGATGTTTGTTAAAGTAACCTTAATCATATGTAAATGCACTACACACACAATGCACACACAATGTTTGATTGATGACAATTTTATATGATGAATTTTTGAAATATATGTGGAATTTAAATAATATTGTAAGAAACACTCAAACGGACTGTAGAAAAGTATTTGCACTCTTGTGAAAAGAGAAGCAAATGCATGACCCCCATGAATGCCTTACACGCTTTTATACATGTAGCTCCTACACACTTTTATACATGTAGCTCCTACACACTTTTATACATGTAGCTCCTACACACATTTATACATGTAGCTCCTACACACTTTTATACATGTAGCTCCTAAACACTTCTATACATGTAACTTCTACACACTTCCATACATGTAGCTCCTACACATATTTATACAAGGAGCTCCTAAACACTTTTATACATGTAGCTCCTAAACACTTTTATACTGTAGCTCCTACACACTTCTATACATGTAGCTCCTACACACTTTTATACTGTAGCTCCTACACACTTCTATACATGTAGCCCCTACACACTTTTATACATGTAGCCCCTACACACTTTTATACTGTAGCTCCTACACACTTTTATACATGTAGCTCCTAAACACTTTTATACTGTAGCTCCTACACACTTCTATACATGTAGCCCCTACACACTTTTATACTGTAGCTCCTACACACTTTTATACATGTAGCTCCTACACACTTTTATACATGTAGCTCCTACACACTTTTATACATGTAGCTCCTAAACACTTTTATACTGTAGCTCCTACACACTTCTATACATGTAGCCCCTACACACTTTTATACTGTAGCTCCTAAACAGTTTTTTAAAGGTAGGTCCTACACACTTTTATACATGTAGCTCCTACATACTTTTTTACATGTAGCTCCTACACACTTCTATACATGTAGCTCCTACACACTTTTATACTGTAGCTCCTACACACTTCTATACATGTATCCCCTACACACTTTTATACATGTAGCCCCTACACACTTTTATACTGTAGCTCCTACACACTTTTATACATGTAGCTCCTAAACACTTTTATACTGTAGCTCCTACACACTTCTATACATGTAGCTCCTACAGACTTTTATACTGTAGCTCCTACACACTTCTATACATGTAGCTCATACACACTTTTATACTGTAGCTCCTACACACTTCTATACATGTAGCCCCTACACACTTTTATACTGTAGCTCCTACACACTTTTATACTGTAGCTCCTACACACTTCTATACATGTAGCCCCTACACACTTTTATACTGTAGCTCCTACACACTTTTATACTGTAGCTCCTACACACTTCTATACATGTAGCCCCTACACACTTTTATACATGTAGCTCCTACACACTTTTATACATGTAGCTCCTACACACTTTTATACTGTAGCTCCTACACACTTCTATACATGTAGCCCCTACACACTTCTATACATGTAGCTCCTACACACTTCTATACATGTAGCTCCTACACACTGTTATACTGTAGCTCCTACACACTTCTATACATGTAGCCCCTACACACTTTTATACATGTAGCCCCTACACACTTTTATACATGTAGCTCCTACACACTTTTATACTGTAGCTCCTACACACTTCTATACATGTAGCCCCTACACACTTTTATACATGTAGCTCCTACACACTTTTATACATGTAGCTCCTAAACACTTTTATACTGTAGCTCCTACACACTTCTATACATGTAGCCCCTACACACTTTTATACTGTAGCTCCTACACACTTTTATACATGTAGCTCCTACACACTTTTATACATGTAGCCCCTACACACTTTTATACTGTAGCTCCTACACACTTCTATACATGTAGCTCCTACACACTTTTATACTGTAGCTCCTACACACTTCTATACATGTAGCCCCTACACACTTTTATACATGTAGCCCCTACACACTTTTATACTGTAGCTCCTACACACTTTTATACATGTAGCTCCTAAACACTTCTATACATGTAGCCCCTACACACTTTTATACTGTAGCTCCTACACACTTTTATACATGTAGCTCCTACACACTTTTATACATGTAGCCCCTACACACTTTTATACTGTAGCTCCTACACACTTTTATACATGTAGCTCCTACACACTTTTATACTGTAGCTCCTACACACTTTTATACATGTAGCCCCTACACACTTTTATACTGTAGCTCCTACACACTTTTATACATGTAGCCCCTACACACTTTTATACTGTAGCTCCTACACACTTTTATACATGTAGCTCTTAAACACTTTTATACTGTAGCTCCTACACACTTCTATACATGTAGCCCCTACACACTTTTATACTGTAGCTCCTACACACTTTTATACATGTAGCTCCTACACACTTTTATACATGTAGCCCCTACACACTTTTATACTGTAGCTCCTACACACTTTTATACATGTAGCTCCTACACACTTTTATACATGTAGCTCCTAAACACTTTTATACTGTAGCCCCTACACACTTTTATACTGTAGCTCCTACACACTTCTATACATGTAGCTCCTACACACTTTTATACTGTAGCTCCTACACACTTCTATACATGTAGCCCCTACACACTTTTATACTGTAGCTCCTACACACTTCTATACATGTAGCCCCTACACACTTTTATACATGTAGCTCCTACACACTTTTATACATGTAGCTCCTACACTCTTTTATACTGTAGCTCCTACACACTTCTATACATGTAGCTCCTACACACTTCTATACATGTAGCTCCTACACACTTTTATACTGTAGCTCCTACACACTTTTATACTGTAGCTCCTACACACTTCTATACATGTAGCTCCTACACACTTTTATACATGTAGCTCCTACACACTTTTATACATGTAGCTCCTACACACTTTTATACTGTAGCTCCTACACACTTTTATACATGTAGCTCCTACACACTTCTATACATGTAGCTCCTACACACTTCTATACATGTAGCTCCTACACACTTTTATACTGTAGCTCCTACACACTTTTATACTGTAGCTCCTACACACTTCTATACATGTAGCTCCTACACACTTTTATACTGTAGCTCCTACACACTTCTATACATGTAGCCCCTACACACTTTTATACATGTAGCTCCTACACACTTTTATACATGTAGCTCCTACACACTTTTATACTGTAGCTCCTACACACTTTTATACATGTAGCTCCTACACACTTTTATACATGTAGCTCCTACACACTTTTATACTGTAGCTCCTAAACACTTTTATACTGTAGCCCCTACACACTTTTATACTGTAGCTCCTACACACTTCTATACATGTAGCTCCTACACACTTTTATACTGTAGCTCCTACACACTTCTATACATGTAGCCCCTACACACTTTTATACTGTAGCTCCTACACACTTCTATACATGTAGCCCCTACACACTTTTATACATGTAGCTCCTAAACACTTTTATACATGTAGCCCCTACACACTTTTATACTGTAGCTCCTACACACTTCTATACATGTAGCCCCTACACACTTTTATACATGTAGCTCCTACACACTTCTATACATGTAGCTCCTAAACACTTTTATACTGTAGCTCCTACACACTTCTATACATGTAGCCCCTACACATTTTTATACATGTAGCTCCTACACACTTTTATACATGTAGCTCCTAAACACTTTTATACATGTAGCTCCTACACACTTTTATACATGTAGCCCCTACACACTTTTATACATGTAGCTCCTACACACTTTTATACATGTAGCTCCTACACACTTTTATACAAATAGCTCCTACACACTTTTATACATGTAGCTCCTACACAGTTTTTTAAAGGTAGGTCCTACACACTTCTATACATGTAGCTCCTACAGACTTTTTTACATGTAGCTCCTACACACTTTTATACATGTAGCTCCTACACACATTTATACATGTAGCTCCTACACACTTCTATACATGTAGCTCCTAAACACTTTTATACATGTAACTTCTACACACTTCCATACATGTAGCTCCTACACATATTTATACAAGGAGCTCCTAAACACTTTTATACATGTAGCTCCTAAACACTTTTATACATGTAGCTCCTAAACACTTTTATACTGTAGCTCCTACACACTTTTATACATGTAGCTCCTAAACACTTTTATACATGTAGCTCCTACACACTTCTATACATGTAGCCCCTACACACTTCTATACATGTAGCCCCTACACACTTTTATACTGTAGCTCCTACACAGTTTTTTAAAGGTAGGTCCTACACACTTTTATACATGTAGCTCCTACATACTTTTTTACATGTAGCTCCTACACACTTCTATACATGTAGCTCCTACACACTTTTATACTGTAGCTCCTACACACTTCTATACATGTAGCCCCTACACACTTTTATACATGTAGCCCCTACACACTTTTATAC